CTCAAATTTTTGAGCTAGATCTCGCTCAAAAATCTTCAAAGAAATACGAAAAAATAATAGAAAAAAAATTAAGAGATATAATCGAAATAGGAGAGACACAGTTTGGCTTTATGCCTGGAAGATCAACAACCGATGCTATCCATGCAATTAGGCAAATGAGTGAAAAATACAGTTAAAAGAACAAAAAGCTACACATGGTCTTTCTCGATCTAGAAAAGGCCTTCGATAGAATCCCAAGAAAACTTATCTGGTGGGCGCTACGCCACAAAAAAGTTCCCGAAAAATATATAAGAATAATACAGGATATGTAGATGGGACATACAACAATGGTCCGTAGCACAACAGGTACTTCAGCAGGCTTCACAATAGCCGAAGGAGTTCATCAAGGGTCGGCTCTCAGCCCACTTCTCTTCATTACAGTAATAGATATATTAGCACAGTCTATACCTCAAACAGTCCCGTGGAATATGATATTTGCAGATGATATTGTGATACTTGCCGAATCCAAGAATGAAATGAAAGAAAGGTTAGTGAATTGGATAAATATCCTAGAAACGCACGGATTAAAAGTAAATAGAGAAAAGACGGAGTATATGGTGATAGGAGGAGATGAAACGGAGAGTATTGATATAAATGATTGGCAGATATCCGCAATTGAAATCTGCAAATATTTGGGCTCCACTATACAAACAAACGGCACAATAGAAAAAGAGATAAAGAATAAGATTAATCAAGGGTGGTTAAAGTGGAGATCTTTATCTGGAGTGCTATTTGACAAAAGAATCCCACACAAATTAAAGGGAAAAATCTACAGTTCCATAGAACCAACTATTCTATATAGTTCGGAAACATGGCCAACCAAAGAATCAGACGAGAGAAGTCTACAAACTATGGAGATGAGAATGCTGAGGATGATTGCTGGGGTAACAAGAAAGGATAAGGTGCGCAGTACAAGAATACTAAATAGTTTAAAGGTAGTGCCCATTAAGACTAACTTAAAGGTAAACAGACTTAGGTGGTATGGGCACACAATGAGAAGGCCTATGAACTACATAGGAAATAAAGTTGAAAGTTTGGAAGTGATGGGCAAACGTAAGAGAGGAAGGCCAAAACTTCAATGGGGCCATAAAAGTTAGAGCCAATATAAAGAAGTATAAAATAGATAAAAGAGATTGTATGAATAACATAAAGTGGAGAGAGATGTTGAAGGAGCTTACCACCAGAAAAGGTGAAAGCTAAAGAGAAAAAAAAAATATTTAATATATATACTCAAACCTCTGCAAAATTATTTGTTAATCGTGAGTGAATAGAGTTGCCATGTCAAAATTAAAATTTTCAAATTGCGGGAGAAATTTAGTATTTTGCAGGTGAAATATGAAAATTGATGTAGAAATATAAAAATTGGTTTAATTAATATTTTTTGCGGGTAGAAGCAAAGTGCCGGCCTTTGGTCGGGATTGTGAATTGGCTTAGTTATCCCCCTATTAATTCCTATAATTACTATATATAAATATTAATAACGTTTTATAATTTCAAAATAGGTAATATTTTTCAAAATAAAAATATTCTATTACTGTTAAATTATTATTTATATATTAAAAATATTAAAATGAAAATAAAAAAATATTGTGTGGAAGAAATTTAAAAATTGTGGTAAATTTTTGCTGTAGATTTCCAATTACGGTAGTTTTACGAGAGTGAGATGTCTGCGTGTACACTAGAAAATGCGGGAGTCTCCCACTGATTGGGATCCTGGTAACCCTGATCGTGAACACTAGAATAAAATTGTTTAAATAATATATGAACCCAACCTAACCAAAAAGTGTTTTATCGAACTTTTGTTCAAATGCGACATTTTTGTATATTAATTAATATAAGATGATTTATCAGTGTTATATTTATCAAATAGCAATTATATATGTATATTATATGTATCATATGAGAAAATATATGTCCATATATACTTTTACAAAATTGTTATTAGCTAAATACAATTTATAATAAAAGTTAATAAATTACAGTTCTCCTCACTACAAATTGAATTCATCATGATAACGTAATATTGATATGATTATATCCTACTAGTTTATGTGCCAGCGATAATGATGGATTTCTTATGCGATTTCAGGTAACCTCATCTATTACACTACACGGAGCACCGGTATCTCTTTATTTCTTTCTTTCTTTCATAGTAAACTACAACCATCTTCGCATTTATGGTAGCCTTATTAGAAAATGACAGGCGAGGTGTCCGTGTTAGAATCATTTGTATGGCATGCGTTCTACACTCTTTCGCTATGTGGCTTGCCTTTCGCATCGAAAGCATATGACTTTTTTGTATGAAATTAGGTTTAAAACTTGATTTATAATAATTATTAATATAATTATTATGATTTAATTTGTTTGCATTATTACCATTATTATTATAAAATTTATTACCGTTATTATAACTATTATTCCTTAATACGTGTTTTTGGAACCTTGCGTCGGATATTTAATGATTTTGTTAACTTCTATCTAAGTTTCCTCTTCCAAGGAACTCAACGCACGGTATCGTCAAAAGTGATATTACCTTCGGTATGCTTTGACCGAAGCACTCGTTCCAACTCAGACAGCCCTACTCCTAAGATAAAAATACCTCTTAAAAGTTCATCAACCGACGATTTAAAATTACATAAAGAGCAAATACTTTCAATTTGATCGAAAAATCGATAATAGTTACACTGCCTCTTTTTAAAGTATAAAAATTATTGTGATGTAGAAAAATACTAGAGATATCCTTAAATATTTTCTCTAAACTATCAAGTAAAGTTATATTATTAATGCTCTCTTAATTATTTGAGAAGTGAAAATGTTTAATTTTAATTAAGTTATCAGTATATGCTAATAACAAATCTTTTTTTTTAAATATTTTGATCAACAATATTTTTTACTTTGAAGATGAGTTCTAAATTATATAAATAGTCCTGAATATTATCCTTTTCATTGACGAATTCGGGAATATAGAATTGAGTAGATGTTGATGTTTCTTCGTTTTTCTTTTGAAATATTATCCTCGAGTCTTCGTTAGGCATAGTATAATTTTAACCTTTTTATTTAATACGTCTCTTTTTTTAAAAAAAATAATCGTCGCCAAATGATATATATCAAATAGTATTTATCTATGTATATTATATGTATCAAATGAGAAAATATATATCCAATCTATTACAATAAATTGTAACTTAAAATCAAATTAACAAAATACAATTTATAATATAAGTTAATACACTACAAGCAAATTCCAAGTCTTTAATTATGACTAGGAATCGAGAATGAGTAAGCATATTGTCCAAATATAATTGATTAATAAAATTTTTTAATTAATGAAACTAGATTTAGCTTCCCTGGGAATTTCTGACGAATAGTCGATATTGAACAAGTATATAGCATAAACAATTTTTTTATAAAAATTTAATAATTGATGAAACTTTTTATAGTTGGTTGGGGATTTGTGACCAAGAGTTGAGATTGCGCAAATATATTGCATAAAGATTAATTGATTTTAAATATTTAATATTTTATGAAACTTCATAATATAGGTTATTTTTTAATTATTTGGGATAATTGGAATTGAGTCATTGGCTGGATATCAAACATACATTGAAAGTGATTGACTAAATCAGCATCTACATGAGCGATAGTGATATGAACAGTTAGCATCAAATTTTTTTAATGGAGTGGGCATAAGTGGGTTAGACTAGGGGTAGGATAATTTTATTGGAGGAAGGGGGGGGGGGTGTTATTAAATTTTTAGATAAAATAGGGAATAATGTATTGCTAATACTGTAACAAGATGAGGCAGGAGCGCTATGAAAAAGATAAAGGTTTTATTATTAAACAACTTTATTTTAATTAAATAAATAATAAAATTACAACTGAAAAATATAAGAAATTTTGAAATATATGTATAAAAAAATGATTAGTTAATTTCAATACATTAATGTAAAACTAAATTGATATAACAAAATTATTAGTTAATTTGAATACATTAATAATTATTTACAAAATAAATTATATAATAAAAACGAAAAAAATACTTTGACGAAGGTTGTTTTAAACTAATATAAGTTTAGATTTTTTTTCTTCGTTTAACAAATACTTTTATTATAGACTATCATAATACAATGATATTGCTAAATATCGAATAAAGCTATATATTGCATACAATAATAGACATTATTTTTCATGAAACAATTTCTGGATACTTACTGATACCCTTTTAAATGAAATTTTAAATGGTTAGAGATTCTATCATTAAATTCAAATACATGCCAAACAATATACTATAATAATGCATCTATTGTAAATATCGGATTTTTAATTGAATTTATGTTCTAAAAAACAACTCTCTTACGTTCACAATATTTTGAAAGTTAGTAGTGTAGCATTTTATTCTTTTTAAAATTTATGAAAAAATACCATTATAATTAATAAAGATTAATAATATAGGCGGGATTTTTTAGGGGGATAGTTATAGGTATTTGAGGGGATTTGCATCTAGTGAATATCCTTTCATGTAGATGCTGGACTGGACAGTGTTATAAATAATTTACCAATATATGATAATAATTTACCAATATATGATAATAATTTACCAATATATGATAATAATTTACCAATATATGATAATAATTTACCAATATATGATTCATTGTTCTATGGTAAGATCCTGGGTAGTAATTTTGTTTTTTAAAATTCCATTACTAAATTTATAATATCTAGCTAAATTACTTTCTTTGAATTATATTAAGAATTCTTCTCTCAAGAAGAATTTTGATCTTATTTGATACTTTTTGTGTGATAAATTTTTAAAAAAAATTAAACTATTAGATTTTCGCGCCCTTTAATGGACACAGAATTTGACGAAATTTTACGATGGATTTATGATTTGTATGATATGATCATTCCGAACTCATCAGGTGGTACTATAATATTCTTTCATTCATTATAATTATAAACATATGGAAAAATTGAAAGAATCATCGACAAGTTAATAGAATATATAACCTAAAATTTCATTAAATAATAAAGATAACTTTTATGATTTCCCTGAAAATTTGCTTAACACCACCTTGAAAGATGTAAATTTAAATATATTTTAAGTTTTAACATTTTTTTAAGGAGAAAGATTTGCGCTTATATTCAAAAGATATTGAAAAGGAATTAAATTTGTTAGAAAATGATTCTTTACAGCAATGTAGTTTATATATTATCATTTAATAATTTGCTCTTTCATTTATATAACAAGATATTAAACATGGTTCATCTTTCTTACAATCATACAAAGAAATATCAGAATGTGATGAGACATTAGCAGTAAATAATTTTATATTTTTCACCATATTATAATAATAATAATAGAGCATTCAAAGTATGCTTGAAAATTTTCAAAATAATCTAGAAAAAATATGTTCTGAAATACAGGATTTACAATCTCAATCTCAACATATGAAAATTAAATTAAAAAATAGACAGGTTTATTAGTCTAACTTAAATATATAATATTAAAATTTAAATAGGATGCTAAATGTGAACTTAGTCAATTAGTTGATGAAATTATAATATCTGAGGATGTAATCAAGTAAAAAAAAAACATTTTTCTTAATCAGTTATTAAAATTTGTATTTTTAATATCTTTATATTAAGTATATAGATAAAAATTTTAAGCTATATCTATCAAAAAAATATATAATTATCACATTTTGCTTGTGAAATGTTTTTAAAGTTATTATTGAGATTATGTCCATATGTCCAAAACCTGTTTCAAAAGTTTTTACAGAAATCGAATGATAAATTTTGAAAATTTCAGAGTAAAAAAAGCTTATATTTCTTGTTTTTCTATAGAATTATTGATTGAATTTTTTTCATATATTATTTTAATTTTTTTTCTTATATTTAGCTTTTTTTAAAATATGAATAATCCAATTTAAGATGATTTTTTATATAAAACAGTAATAAAAACACAGTGGAAAAAAATATCTATATGACTTATATTTGATTATTTTAAAATTTATTAGAACATAAAAGTTTTATGAAGATGTTTTTTGTTTGCATATTTTATCAATCAATTTTTGTACAGATGATTTGCCATTATATTAAATAAAGCCATAATATATTTTAAAAATTATATAAAACTTTTTTATTGAATTCAGAGATCTAGCTGGGCTAGGTAATTTCTGAAATTTTGGTCTAGGCTTGTCAAAAAAACACGTTATGAATTCTGGTATTTCATAGAAGTGATAATCCATAAAGTATAGTTTTAATTTAACCACTCCCAGGTCAAGATTATAAATGGTTGTTTATTTTGGTGTTATTTTGGTTTAGGCCTTTTTTAAAAAAAAATATGTCTTATATTTATACAAATATGGGCAAAATACTTTTATAAATAAATAATTACATTTATATAAATAAATACAGCACTATAATGGATATTGATGTAAGTGAGCCTGTGTTTCAAGAAAGCCTACATGAATTACATCATAAGCTCAATTTCTTGCAGAAACAATGTTACGAAGAAGGAGAAGATACCAAGGCATTTCAAGACATTAAGCAAATATTGGAGAAATTAAAAATAAGAGTATTTAATTTTGTATATAATTTAAATGAGACATATATTAGGCCATTTCAAAGATCAAAGACTTTTTGTTGAAAAAAATATATTCCTTTCGTAAACCTATGACTAATTATCAAGTTCCTCAGAGTTATTTACTCAAATACAGGTAATCAACCTTTATAGGAATAATTTAAAGCATATTTTTTATAACTTTATAGCCTAAAAAATATAAATAAATTATTAAAGTTGTAAAATTTATTGAAAATATAGAATATTTCCTTTAAAAAATGGGGATTCAGTAGCCAGAACATAGGGCCAAAGGGTGTCATATTGTTATAAAGTAAAGGAATAGGGTGGTGGTACCCTTTATTGAATTATCTAGAATACGTGAACTGAACCCTTTTGGTATTTAAACATGAATTGAATGGATAACAATATGCAACCATTTTTTAAAACAATACTGAAGCAACAGAGCAGAACAAAAAAATGCTCTTGTTCTTATTAATGTTCCCAGGCAAGATCAGAGATATAATGAAAGATTATAAATAATCTGATTCACAGGAACAATAGATCAGTTGTAACTATGAAGGAGACTACTTCTATGAATGCATTTTGAAAAGAATTGTACAAATATGAATATTCATTAGAAACATTTTACATCAAAAAATTAATATTTAGTGACTTTCCCTATTTCATAAATATATTTCTAAAATTGAAAGATAAACTTATATTTAGTGATCCACGCCCTAAGATAGGAAGAAGATATAGAAATGATTTTGTTATTAAATATAATAAAAATAATAAATCGTATGCATTTTTTTACAAGTTGCTCTTCAATAAATTTATATATTTTGCTTAATCTCGCTGGCTACTTTTTTTTTAGAAAATTAGCAGTAGCGCAATACTTCTTTTACTAACACAGAAAAAGACATAAAATGAATATAAATAATATATTAACCTCCAGATTTTTTTACGAGTTTTTGATGCACAATGATCGCCACACCGCCATTCAGATCAAGGAGGAATACGTGGATACTCTCAACAAAATTTTATACGCTTATTTTAAAGATTATTATGTTAAATTGATCAAATTACAAGTTATTTTTTATAATTATTTACAGAGTTTAACAGAAATATATTTTTTAAAGATTTGAAGATTCTTTTTGCCAAAAATTTTGAGCAAAAATTGTTGAAAATCAAAAAATAAATAAAGATTTATTTTGAAGATTTTTTTTTTAAAAAAAATCGTTTATTAATCTTTCCTGATTTTTAGTAAAAAAATTATTCCTAAAGAAATTATAAAAATAATTTTGAAAAATAATCTTCTGAAGATTAAAAATCTTTGAAGATGTTGGATTTTGAGCGAATATTAAACCCTGGTTATTTATTATACTTTATCCTAAAATTATTTGATTCAAAATTAATGGGCAAGTTACATTATCATTTTAAGCGCTGATAACTCTTTTTAGCAATATTATAAAGATTTGAAAGTATATTTATATTGTAAGGGGAAAATTACCACCCCCTTTCCATTTAATAATGACTAAAAGATTTCATATTAAATGATAAAACTGCATCCTTAGCTCATCTTTTTCCTTTCAAGAATTCAAAATTCTGTTATGAATAGTGGTACATCTTTAAGCTTATTTTTAAGTTTCCACACCCGATGCTAAAATTTATAAATTAAGTAAAACAAAAAAAAATGGTGCCCAAGCTCTTCCAAATAGAATTCAGAATTAAGAAGATAAATTAAGTTGAACTATGCCGCCTACAAGCTGAAGTTATGCCACTGGTTTGTAGAATTAGCAAGCCTTTGGCAAGAGGGAGTCACCTTAGCCAAAATAAATATAAGTTGTATTCATAATTATGATGAGATTTATTAATTTTATTTATAAATAATACTAAATATTTTAACTAAATTTTAGTATGAAGAAGTTCCTACCAAGGATGATTTGATTGGGGAAATCGAAACTAATAAGAAAAATATCCTTTTTGAATATTTTTTTAAAAATCATAATTCTTTATTTTAGAACTCTGATCTATAATATTTATATAAAGCAGCTCTTTCTAATTTTTTGACCATTATTGGGGACATCGATTTTCAGTTTAGAAATTAAAGCGAATCTTATATTCAAATCTTAAAGATCACGTTAGATATCCTGAATTATTATTTTGTTTAACTCATGGCCAAACAATTAAACGTATATTTAATAAGTCATTATCCATGAAAGATAGCAAATCTAATAACGCCCTATTTACCTTGGGGAAAAGGGCAGAAATTTTGGGCTCCCAAGAAATTTTACAACCTATAATCGTGCCACATATTGCTTCACAACAAAATAAAAAGGTTTATACTTAATTCTGTCCTCTATATTTTATTTTTATGATATCTAGCCAAGTCATGCACTAATGGTTCTTTTTTAATAATTATAAATCGATTGGCAAGATACCGAAATCACAAATTATGTTGTTATCACGAATGGGCAGAGGTGTGCTTATACAACTTTTTTTTAGCCGATATCGATTTTGTGATGCCAGGTATCGGCATGTTACCACCGATACTCCATTTTTTTCCTAGCGTTTTAAAAAAATTCTAAATTGACCTAGGCCTCGGTCAAATTAACCGCAATATTCCAAAAAAAAATAGGGCGACATCGCGTCGTTTACAATAGCCTAAAATTATTCAGGTATAAATTATGCATCGCTTGAGAGACATCTCCATATTTCACGGTTACTATAAACGAGGTGGCCTAATATTTAAAATAAAAATTCCAGCCTAGCATATAATTCAAAAGATTGTTTTTAAAAAATACATTATCCCAATTAGGGAAAAAGGGAACGCAATTGAGGTATCGGTAATTTGTATCAGTAAAAAATTGTCGGTATCGATACACATTTTCAAATGAAATCTGTTTGATATCGGTTAAATTGGATCATATAGAATCGGCCTCTAAAAAGTTGTATCGGTGCACGTTTAATTATCGGTATCACTATAAAAACAAGTTTTAAAAATTATATCACATGTATATTATCTTTAGTACGGTTTTGAGCACATATTTAGGAGCATAAATTATGCCGTTTTGGAGAACGGATGCAGGGAAGCTATTTTCCTGTCCGATTTTTTCTTGGTGTCCTCCAAACATTCTCTCCTTCTTTTCAACGCTATATGGGGAAAAGTTTTGAATTATCTGCTGGTAAATTTATTATAAAAAAATTTTTACAAAATTCTGACACAAAAATAAATTTAACAATAGCAAATTTATAAATATTAAACAAAAATCTAATAATTCAAATCCAAAATGGTCCTATCTTAGGACCAGACTGTTACCATTTACTTTCTATGAAATGGCCACCTTGACATAAAAACTACTGTTTTTGATGCATATATGGTTTTCCTTATTATATATTTAAGATAATAAAATTATTAAGAATTCTTAAAAGAAGATTTATATTCAAGCTGATAAAATTAATAATCATTCTTAGACCATCCAGACAGAACCTTTTTTCAAAGCGAGTTTTGGGTAATGTTACCAGCAATTTTTTTTGAAATTTCCAAACAATGTCGAATTAATTTTTTTGTATAATATATACCTCAAAACCTTTTTGAAAAACGTTCTGTCTAAAAATGGCTTAAGGAAGATTGTATATTTAAGACGATAAAATAAATGACCATTTTAAAAGAAATTTGTATATTTTTTTTATGCAATAATTCTTAGAAAAGTTTAGACACCTATACAGCCACATGCTACGATTCCATAGGTCTGCTGCTATGTATACATTTAGTATATAGATTCTACGATATCGAACATAAGCGCGATATGAGTTTTCTTGCGCCGTAAGTTTAATTATTTTATTAAAAGTTAAAATTAGTCATTAATATTCGATTCACATAAGGATTTGTATCATATATTTTTTGAATGAAATAATATTAAAACAACACAATTTTAATTTGCAAATGTTTAAATCATTAAAACAAAAATTGTTTCCTCGATAAAACGGCAATTTTTCTTTTTATATATTTTTTTCAAAAAAAAAATAGGACTAAAGTTGCTGGTTTTTACTTTTAGAATTTTTAAATATCATAAATTTTTATAATTTAACAACTAAACAACGCACTAAAAAAATGCATAGCTATTGGTACTCGGTCCTTGAAGCCCTTAATTCTCGATTTATCAAAGTATTTGAGATGAATATAAATAGTATGAAGGAAATCGATGTATCTAAATTGCAAGGCTTTGATTTGAGACCGCATTATGTAAAAAAAAAAATTTATATAAGAGGGCCACCTAGCTCACTTTTTTTAATCGCAGCTATTTTCAACGTTGTAAAATAAATTTCTGCTTTTGCTGCTGATTCAAAATTAAATAAAATGTCATCATAAAACTCCTCTTAAGTCTAAAGGACTAAAATAGCTAGGATGTCCTCGAATCAAAGATAAAACTGATTTATTATAAGTTATTTTTAGGGCTGTGCCGATCCACATATTTTTCACCGATCCGATCCGATATTGCTTTAACCCGATCCGATACCGATCCGATATTTTTACTGATTTTTAATCACCCCCGTTTGAACCAAATGTAATTAAGAAATCATTATTTTTTATGCAAAAAATCGAATTATGAATTTAATTTTTTTTTTATTTCTACAATTAAGACTATAATAAAAAAATATATATTTAATAAATCCATTTTATATTGGAATTATAAAATTGTTATATTTAATATATAAAATTATAATATATTAGATTTTTTTAATAAATATGAGAGCCTCTAGATTTTTTGGGAATAATCTACGATATGGACTATCTATATTTCCTGCCGTACTGAAGGCAGACTCAGATGATTCCGCAGATAACACATTTTGCAAAATTATCTTTGTCCTTGGTAAAATATTTCCATAATTCAGATAAAAAATTCTTTTATTTAAAGTATAAATAAAAAAATTGGCGTTATTTAAAAAGATTTAAAATAAATAAGATATAAAATTTAAAAAAATTATTAAGAAAATACCAGAGTTGTTAAACGCTATTTTTAAAAGTAGCGCGCTACCGCCTTCGTTATTTGTCAAAAAAAGTAGCGCGCTATTAGCTACTTTTTTTCAAAAGTAGCTTTAGCTACTTTTAAGCTACTTTTTATAAAAAAAAATTTAGAAATAAATGAAACAAATTTTTTTTATTTTTTTTTTGCTTATAATGTAAATGTATAATAAATAATATATAAAAATCAACATTTATAAATATAAAAATATAGTTAGTTTAGATTATAAAAAAATAAGCAATATAAATAAATATTTATTTTAATTTGTTGCATTTTAATAATAATATCATTTCAATATTATCATCCCCAAGTCTAGAGCGACGATCAGAAAGTATAAGCTTTGCTTTACTAAATAATCTCTCGACACTAGCATTTGAGGGCAAGGAAGCTCTAAAAATATTTAATCAGATCAATTTATAAATATAAATAAGTTTTTACCTTCTGTTATGTGTCCAATTATCTGCCGGTGTACATACATAAGATATATCTGATAACTCCACTATTAGAGCATCTTTCATCACTTTGAAGTTGTCGGCTATTTTATTCATAAGTGTCTGGCGACATAAAACTGTTGTGCCAGGGGATAAAGTTTTAATCATCATAGTAAATGATGGATTATCAACCAAGGACAATGGCTGAACTGTGTCAATAATAAAATCAACAATTACTTTATCAGCCAATTTTTGTGAAATATTGGCATGTTTATTATCAGTTAATTTGGTTTGGATAGTATTTGTCTTTTTGAATGAAGATTCTCTTATACCAAAATTTTTTATATTTTTCTCTATTTCCTTATAGCAATTGGCATGAACAGTCTAATAAAATAAATAATATTATAATATAAAAATAACAATTTACCTTTAGGTGTTTTCAGGTTATAGCTACTCGATTGATTTGATGATATATTTTTTTACATTTTAAACACAGGAATTTGAATCCAGATTTTGTTTTAATATTTATTTAAAAAAATTTTTCAAATCTAGGGAATGGGAAATCGTTATTAGAGCTATTATACATTTTCTTCCATTGAATCTTCCATGTCTGAATCACTTTCAAGGATTTGGATATCCATGGGCGATGCCATTTTAGATTATTAACACAGATTGAAAATATAAATTAAAAATTGAAAATATATTTAAATTTCAAAATTAAATAATAAATTATAAAAATTATAATTAATCATGAAATTATATTTAAATTTTCATGTTTATACTTACATTCATTATATTTTTTTAGCTACTTTTAAAAAAAGTAGCTCGCTAAAAAATTAAATAATTAAAAAAAAAGTAGCGGCTATTAGCTATAGCTACCAAAAAAGATATCGCGCTACTTTAACAACTCTGGAAAATACTATAATAATGTAAAATAAATATACATAACATAAAATAACAAAAAAAAGAAAGGAAAACGCTAAATATAGGTACCGATCCGATCCGATATTTAATATCGGCACACAGCCCTAGTTATTTTTAATGATTTTTTGTTCTTAATTGCAATTAACATTAACAAATATATCATTAATTAAATTTTTGATGCAATTATTTTAAATCAACTTTTTAAATGTGAAAATATCGTCATATATCATGATACTAATACCCATTTAAAAAAAATACGAATCAAGATAACACGGCGATTCGCCGAATTCGCTTCATCGATTTTATCGGTCAATCAGTCCTTTTCACTCTCTCCATTAGATGAGGATGGGCCAAGCTTAACTAGTTCCGGTCCCGATAATAATCACATTACACGTCAGCTTACCAATGAGCTAAGGGATTTGCTTCTCAAAATGGCTTCCTCATTTTACTCTCGCAAAGAGCGTCTTGTATTTTTATTGAATAATTATGATCTGGCGTACACCATCATATGGGTATTATTTGATTTTTACTCAAAATTATGAAAATATTTATTGTTATAGATCACCAATCGAAAATGATTCGATTCAAGTTATTATTTGAATCCAATTTATGCATGCGAATAAAAAATTATTTCGAATAGAATAATAATAAAAATTCTTTCACGAATGAATAATATAAATTATTCGTAATTTTCAATAAATATAGAATTATGCAAATATTCATAATTTATTTATTTTTTTTAAATTAAAGCCATTATAATCAAATAATTTTATTTTTTTCTGGCATTTGCAGTATTAATTTTTTGATTGTGCTACTGATAATTATTTTGAGAATTTTCTAAAACCAATTTGAAATGAATATTTATATAGGGTAAGATGATGAGACCAAATTCGATTTTCTGAAGGCCTAAGATGACTATTTATAAAGTAGTGGAAAAAACTCTAATTTTTGAAGCACAAAAAATTGGATATATATTAAAGCTCAGCAAATGGCAAATTTTTACCCCACATTGAAAAAATAGCCAATAATGATAAAGATTTTGGTTTCACGATCTTCTTATTATAGCGATAAGCATAAAATTTATAAAAAGGAAAGAGAAATTGTATTTATGAATGAATGATCCTAGTAGCAAGTCATTTAATTATTAAAATTATAAGCAAAAATAATAAATTTTATTTTTAAAAAATTAGGCCTTATGAGAAGCGCGCTGGGCATTGCTACCTTTTACCCCTCCCGTTAATTTTTTTGGATGGCCCAAATTAAAAAATTTCAGACTTTATCCGGCCCACGCGGCTTCTGGGTCGGGCATTGCAGATGTTCTAATATTTATACGGATTTGGTTCATATTTTGAATAAATTTCAGAATTAATGTTAATCAAGTTTCAACTTAACTTATAAACAAATCTTAATCCAATTTAAAAAGTATTTTTACTATATTTGTTTTTTGAACCTAATATTTAAAAAAACCATGCGTTTTAACTCAATTTTTGCATTTACATAAAATAATAATGGTAAGAGATCAGGGCACATGCGTTCAATTTTTTTTATTTTAAAACGAGGTTTGAAATTGAATCCTATGATAGATGTTGTGATACATCTCTTGACAAAAAATATTTTTAGGATTTTATATCATATTTTACCACGACTGAGGACTTAGGGCACGCCGGACCAAGGTACGTAGGACCATTCATAATTAAAATATAACTTATTATACAAAATTTTATGATTTTTTTTATTTGATCATAAAATTATAGATTTTTAATAATTTCCTTAATCTTTATTAATATAAGAATTAAAATATTTTTCATGTGCAAATTCGATTTTTAAATTTATTCTAAATTTTTCAATTAAAAAACCAAAAACAACGATAAATTTAATTGAAAAATAATATCTAAATATATTTTGCAACAAAATATAAATAATTTATTATAATGTAAAATAATACAGATAGTTAATTCAAAGAAAATAAATAAAATTTAAGAAATTTGCATTTTCTCATTGATGGAGAGGGCAGAGAGTTCAAATGGGGCAGGAAATAAACAGATTCATTTCTGCCTTTCACCCTATGATTACGTCATTAATAGGAATCTCAATAACTTTTTATTATCATTATCCAAATTTATATAGAATCTTTATAATTTAATGAAAAATGCGTTCCTTTTTTATTAACTAAGTTCTATATACTTATTTTATTTTTTAAATTAAAAGGAAAACTTGAAACGTGAAAGTTGTTGCGAGACTCTGAAAAGCTCCCTCGCTTCATGGATGGATGAATTTGCCGAAGAAATCCTATCTCCTTACTTTGGTGGAATGATATCTTTGGTTCGGGAGATTGAGTCATCTGCTGATGATCCTCAAGTCGTTTGGGAACGACTGAAGGCTAAAACAAGTTTTCAATATAAAAAATAATAACCTTACTTATTTATACATTTCTGCAGACCAACCTATTATTATAATAATGTAGATGGGGACCGCCATTATAAGGTGATAATGGATTCTTTAACTATTAAATATTTTTTGTTGACCACTTAAGTTCCATAGCCTTAAAAGAACCATCCTTGATCCTCTAGTGTTCATATAATAGCATTAGTTTTATTATTTAAAAAAAAGAAAAAACTTTCTTTTTTTAAAGAAGCTCATAAGGACAAAAAAAATGAATGATAATTATTTGTAAGTAAATTGAAAAATTTATCAATTTAAATTTTAGGCCCTAATTTTAAATTACTTATTTTTGGAAGAAAAAAAATTGTCAAAAACATTTCGATATATTATTTTTATGTTTCATAATTGTAAATAAAAACATTTATATTTATTATTAATTTTTTTTTCCCCAATAAGATAAGTTATTATCAATATCTAATCACCAGAAAGGGCTGAATGTATTGTCGCCTCTCGCTTCAGTTAAAAAATCTTTGGGACGCATCCCGTCTCAGATTTATCCCTTTTTAACGGGTCCCATATTGATAATGCCAGGATGTTAAATTTTCTCTCCTCGTCATTCAATTTTTTTATAAACTATTTTATAGGTTTAACGGGTAGTATAATGTAATATAATAGACTTTTTGGCTACAATATTTTTTTCTGCCCTAAATGTGATCAAATTCATTGTCATTTTTTTTGTGGAGTTATATTTTATTTTTAAGTATATACCAAAAAAATGTATTTTTTATTTTCAAATAAAAACATGACTATCCAGATTTGATAAGAGCCATCATCAAATTTTTTAACGAGGATCGTTCGAAAGCTATCGAAGCCATGAATAGCGAAATCATGCAATCTTTTACCAATTTTAAAAATGGAACCAACGTTTTACAGGTCCATCACAACAACATAATAATTATTTTAATTATTTCGTTCGCTCACAGCTGATTCTCAAGCTAAACCTTTTTTTTTTGGTTTGGTGTCTCTAAGCACAAAAAGGGGAGGAGGAGTGAGAAGCTAAGAAATTTAGATGTAAAAATTAAATATTGAGGATTTAAATTATTTGATTTTCCGAAATAGTGAAATTTTTTTATTTTTGGTTTCATAAATTTTATATTTAATTCCATTTTTATTTGGTATTTAATTGTTACTTTTAAAGAGCTTAACTTGTTATTTTAAAATTTTATATTCTTTTGGTCCTAATATGTTTTATTTTAGAATAAATTATTACTTAATTGCATATATTTTTTATTTATAAATAACAAAAAAATAATATAATATTATTAATATAACTAAAATACTACATTAATAACAATACACACATTAATTTAGCTTTAAACGAAATATTAGCTCATCTTTAATTTGATTTAATTACACTTATCAGGCTACATTCTCTGATCAAGAAATGCAAAATGGTCCATTCTTCACAAAACCTTTTTTTGCTCTTTGAATATTCCTTCCTGCATATAATACACATCTACTTATCATTATTCTTCTTCTTTAAATTTAGGAAATTGTAACTATTATAAATGATTTTTAACATAAAAATCTATATAATAAATATATGATAACTAACAAGCAGGTAATTATAATATAAAGTTTATATATTATGGGTCTCTGCAATTATAACTTTCGAAACTACCAAAACTAATACTAAAAATTGTGTTTATTTTTTTTTATAAAATAATTTAAATAGATATATCCAATATTAAATTACGTCAACTCATAACTTTCGATAAAAACTCCCAAAACTAATACTAAAAATTGTGTTTATTTTTGTTTTTATAAAATAATTTAAATGGATAAATGTAGTAAAAATTGTGTTTATTTTTAATTTTATAAAATAATTTAAATGGATAAATGTAGATTGTAATCCAATATTAAATTACGCTAACTCACATTTTAATCAAAAATCTCATTATATAGTATCCCATTCTAAATAGCTGAAGATTGGGAATCTCGCTTATATCTCCTAAAAAATTATAGCCATATTGAAAATAATATTTATAGATGCTAGTAAAAAATCGCATTAAAATGGGAGAAATAAGATTCTTTTTTCTAAGAGCTATAAGCGAGATTCCCAATTTTTAGCGATTTAGAATCTATCCCATAATAAAGGACTTGGAATAGTCAGTTTATTTTAATACTTATAAATCACATAAATTTATTGGCTAAATTATGTTTATTTATGGTAGTATGACCTATCAAAATGTTTGGTGGCAAAATGTTTTAAATTTAGTTATTATTTAGAGTATCATATAATTTAGCACTTTATTTTATCTTATAGCTTTTTATATTTTTTCTACATCTTCTACGTGATTATATGAGAATAACTCCATATAAATATTATAGGCTATTTTTTTTTAGTTTTAATTATAAAATTTCTGATATTTTAAAAAATAATTTTTTTTTTCTTAAACAGGTTGTATTATCCAAATTGATACAATATTACCATCGGTTTTGTAAAATTTTAAACCATCCAGTGCTAAAGAATGTCGAGGGAAGGAGCGAATTGATCAACACACATAATTTGATGGTTGAAATGAAGAAATATAAAACTAATTTTTGATAACAAAGGAATGATATGTGATGGATTTAATTTTGTTGATATAAATAATATTATAGTATAATTATGAAGATCTAATTAATAATTAATATCAATTGTTTTATCTTAATATACTTTTTTTATTGGGATATAAAACAAGACATTTAAAACGCTAAATCGAGAAAACATTAATAAATAAAAAAGAAGTGTTATTAGGATCTCTCTCATTGTTAATAACGATATTATCTCTACCCCGTCTCCCTATCTAAGCAGAAATATGAAAATCAAAATAAGAAAAAAAAGAAATTCAAATCAAAATTCCCCTTGCCCCACCCATTTTATTCAAATAATTATAGTGTTTACACAACTCCCTACACCCTGATTAACCAATGTCATTACTTGTTTTTATGTTTCAGTTAAACGCATCGAACTTTTCAAAAAAATTTCTTTCTTTCGTTCTTACATACAATTTAAAAAAAAAAAATTAAATTCAGGAGATAAGGAAATATTTTGTATTAATTTTCATATCATACTTTTATAATAAGTATCATGATCCTATAATTTATTACTGAATATTTAAATGGGATGGAAAGAACTATTATGTAGGTTTCCCCACACATTTTATTGGAAGTCTTTAGGTACAATTATAGGCTTGCTATGTTATACTTTTATAAAAATAATTTTGGGTTTTCATTTATTTTTTATAAATATTCATATTTTTGATTATTTTAAAAAAATTATTTTTTTTTTCAAATTATTGTTTATATCGATATATTGTATACATTTTTTGGAGAGAATGGGGAGACCTATGCACCGCCGGCTCACGCCGGTGGCGCTGGCAATTTTATTGCAATTTTAACACCGGGCCACCGATTGAGATGAGCGGCGCTGCCAGGCTCACCATCGATTTTTTTATGGCGACGGCGTGCGTGCATAATTTTTAGAATTGCTATTTAATTATTTATATATTCAATTTGAATATTAACATAAATATAATTAAAATTTGAATTTTATTCTATTGGCATATAATAAAGTAATGTATATCATTTTCATACATCATATCTCAAAATTACGCAAACATTTATACATATTAATTTTTTTTTATGGATTTGCACATTTTAAACCATTCTAGCTTGTTTATTGCCAGCTCTAATTGATGTTTTTTTTTGAGTATCCTTCTAATTTATCAACTTAATATACAACTAATTTATTAAATTAATTGTATAAAACTTTATTTTAAAGGTTCAAAAATTTGTTTTATTTCAGTTCTAATTATTTTGATATTTTTTACATATATGTATAAAATAAATATAAAATATAATAGGGCTAAATTATGCTTTGATGTTTTTCTTAGATTTAATGCCATTTTATTCTAACAATTAAGGAATAACTAATTTTCTAAATGTTTAAAATTTAAATAAAATGATTATTAAATAAATTGCCTTAAAAATAGAAATATGATATTAGATTCCTCGTCAGAATTGCCTTAGGAAAACATTAGTCAGTGTGCACTAGATTATGTTTATTCATATAAAGGCACATTTTTAAATATTATTGGTTCTGGATCAAAATTCTCTTCTATCACTTTTAATTTATGGACAGATTATTTCAAGCGTCAAATTATATTATTTTAGTCTTCGTCATCAAACTATTTTACCCTGGCAACTTGAAACGTGACGCAAAGGCATACTGGAGAAACCATATTATCTGATATCGATATTGTAGAATTTAAAAAACAAAATAATACAGATGGTCACTGTATCGGATCGGTACCGATATTCAGCGTTTTCCAAAAATATCGGATCGGGCCCATACATGTAATAATCCGATCCAATCTTTTTACTAAAAATGCAATTCTTAAAACTTTTGAGTAATGAAACTTTAAATTATTATTATATCATATTTATTATTTTTTTAATAAAAAAATTTATTTTAAAATATTTTAAAAAAATAAACAAAAAAAAATATTTAAAAAAAAAAATTAATTCCCCCGAGTTTCAGTGAGTTACTATTTTACATTAATAATATTTTCTAAATAATTTTTTTTAAACAATGCAAATGTTATTTATTTTTTTAAATAGATTTATAGTATTTTAAAAGTTTTTTTATAAAAATAGAAAGGAACACCCAAAGTTTTATTTATTTTATATTTTTTTTAAAAAATAACACCAATTTTATTATTTATACTTTAAATAAAAGTTATATTTTAAATATGGTTTCTAAATTATGGAAATATTTAAAAAAAGACAAAGATAATTTTGCAAAATGCGTTATCTGGGAATTCTAATTTTACGGGAAGGAATACTGAAAAATTCATTTAATACTACCAATATCCGTAAACATTTAAAGCGATTCCATCAAACGGAATTCGAAGAGCTAATACAAAGAGAACGAGAAATATTAGAAAAAACAAATCAATTTAAAAAAAAGAGTCCTGAAAGTCAGCCAGCAATATCAGTCTTCTTAATAAAACTAATATTTGGAAATATTATGATCCTAAATCCATAATAATTTCTAAATTTATAGTGGAAATGATAGCGTGTGACCACCAGCCGATTTCTATCTTGGAGGATATCGGCTTTAAAAGGCTTTTACATTATTTATGTCCAAATTATAAAATTCCCAATAGTAAGTATTTTTCGCAAGGAGTTATTCCGGATATATATGAAAAACTCTTCGAAAAAATTCGTAAAGAAATTTTGGTTGACGATTCTTATTTTTCCTTTACTCTAGATATATGGACTAGAAGGTGGCGATTCTCATATCTCATTAACATGCCACTATATAAACCAAAACTTTAAACAAATTAATAGAGTTCTAAATGTTAAAACATTTAATGAGTCGCATACAGCAATAAATATTGCTCAAATTTTAGATGAAATTATTAAATATAGGGGTATAAAAAAATAAAATACACCTAATCATCAGAGATAATGCACCCAATATAGCTTTGGCCATAAAAAACGGGAAATTTCAAAGCGTTTCGTAGGCAGCAAATTTATCACAAAGATCCATTTTTGCATTGCTTGCCCGGGTTAGAAAAATAGTAGGCCACTTTAAACATTCTTCTATTGGACAAAAATAGTCTAAAAGAAATCCAAATTCGATTAAGTTTAACTAAGCACAAATTAATCCAGGACGTGTGGACCCGTTGGGATTCTACCTATTGGGAATTAGCAGAAAAGGTAATTGATGTTCTGGAACCAATTCAGAGAGTAACAAAAGAAATAAGTACCGAATCATGTTCAATTAGCAATGTTATACCCTTTGTTGAAATTCTGAAAAGTGAATTAACGATTAATGGGGACACAGATAGAGGTGTGCAAACCATGAAGGATACCATTAATAATCAATTAACAACTCTGTTTTTTGATATTTATGATGATGACAATTATCATATCGCAACATTACTTGATCCTCTTTATAAGGGTTTCTTTTTACCAAAAAACATTTCATATATTGAAAGCTCAGGACTGCATGTGAGTCTTTTTTAAAGGTGAGATAATGTTCAACTTCCAACTCCTAATAAAGATTCGCCAAGTTTTATATTTTATAAAATAAATTTAGATTTTATTGTTAACTTTAGTAATGACAATGAGAAAAATGTTCCACATAACATTAAAAAATGCAAATTTAATTTAAGGGATGCTTATAAATTGAAAATCAAGGAAAAACTAGTAACAAATAAAATAAATGAAATCGATAGTAATGTAGATGATGACCTGCCATACTTGATAGAAATGAAGGAATATTTAAAAGAATCTTTATATCTAGAGAGTATAATAACATATTTTTCATATATAATCAAATATTGCTTGGTTGGGTTATGATTGACCCATTTGTTTGGGTGATATCTGATTTATTTTTCAAAATCAATAAAAGATTGAGTTGTATGAAACCCACTATTTTATAAATGCTAATTTCATATTTGTGTTCTTTATTTAGACAACTCGAATAACATTGATGATATTGATATTATATCCCCAGTGAATCCACTTGAATATTGGAGAGTTAATGCTGTAAAATATCCAACTTTATCAAAACTTGCATGTAAATTTTTGGTGCCTCCAGCAACAACTGTCCCACCTAAGTCTGCCTTCAGTACGGCAGGGGATACTGATAGTCCTCATCGTAGAAGCCTATTGCCTGAAAATCTAGAGGCTCTTATATTTATTTTAAAAATCTAATATATTATAATTTTATATATTAAATATTACAATTTTATAATTCATACCAACATAAAATGGATATATTATTTTATTTATTTTATCTATTATAATATAATTTTTTAAAATTATTGTTGAAATAAAAAAAATACGATAATGCATAATTCTTTTGCATAAAAAATATTGATTTCTTAATTACATTTGGTTCAAAGAGGAGTGGTGAAAAATCAATATAAATATCGGATCGGTTTTGAATCAATATCGGATCGGTGAAAAATATGTAAATCGGCACAGGCTTACTGTTGGCAAGGCTTATAAGCAGCGTCAGATAGGGGGATTATGAGCATCATTTATGCTTAGGGCATGGACTTAATAATTTAGTTACAGTTGATGGAATAAAAAAAGTTGGCAGAATTAATATTCATGTTAAAATAATTAGAGAAATCATTTCAGCTATCAGATATAGTTGATTTGGAATGCGAAAATGGAATGAGCATTGTAAATGCCTGCATTCGATGTATGAGACAGGCCATATTTTGGATATTGCTGATTCTGATCCATACCTTGATGAACATTTGATATCTCGTGGCTGATAATATATTGCATTTCACCAACAGATCAAATTAATACGATAAGCCTAAAATATAATTGCCCTATCCCTTGGTTCAGCATATTAATTACTAGAAAGTATCCGCAGTGTTCAAGATTCATATTAATAATGTTCGAAATAAAAAAGGAGAACAATCCTTAAAACATTTAACAAACTTTACACATTATTGAATCCATTCAGAAAAGCTTATAGGTTTCCAATTACCGAACTTCAAGTTTTATATTATATTTTTATTAATAAAATTATATTTTAAACATTAGATATTAGCGATACTTGATCCGAGATTTCAAAATCTTAAAATTGCTTCAGAATATATAAATTCGAATTCCAAATCATTGCAATTTTTAATTAGACATTTAAAACTTTTAGAGCATTATAGAAATGCACATATTGAGTCAAGTTGAAGATAATGGGCAAACATCCATTTGATATATGTATATTTATAGCTAAAATAGCTCGTAAACATTCCCTTTACAATTATAACAACATTCAACATAGAGCAATAATGCCATATTTTGAGCAGCCAATATAATATACCAGAAAAGGATGCACTATTTATTTGGAAAAAAGTGTTCCTAGGATTGCTAATTTAGCTAGGAAGGTTCTTTGTATACCTCCAACCAGTACACCCACGTGAATAATTTTTTCCATCGCTGAATACTCAATGCTAAAATACTTATTTATGCCCCACGAATCTTGATTAAATACTATTTATTCATTAAAATTATAATTTTATGAAATCTGATTTCTAATTTATTATATTTCTGACTTTATATTTTGTATGCAATCCAAATTTATATTATAATTTGTTTTTAAAAATCAATAGAATATTAATAAAATCTGTTGTTTATGTGGATGTGATTAGAAATTCGATTCCTTTGTCTATTTCTGAGAATGAGAAAATGAGACAGAAAATAATTTAAGAAATGAATTAAAATATATTAACAATGTTAGAACTAAGAGGGCCGTTGCCGAATGCCTACAAATTCCAAAAAACCCTCGCCGTCAATTAGGTTTCGGCGCACATGTCTAAGAATAGGGCAAGGTCGATAGTCTAAAATTGGGGATTATGGAGATTTATAAATGGACGAGGTATTGTGGTGTTGTCACATAAGAATTTTATTTTTGTAAACGAATAAATGATTATCTACTTTATGTAAGAGAAATGTTATGCAATATGTTTTTCGATATAAACTATTTTGTTTTTATTAAATACTTTCAGAAATATTAATAAATTTGTTTGATAAAATAAAAATACATTTTTTGTGATGTAAGAAAATTTATAAAATAATT